TACTGAATAGCATTTAGTAACATTAAAATAACTACAGTAAGATTTGTCTCATTTCTTGTTCTGGGCAGTAGATAAGCTGTGGTGTTAAATATTCAGGGTTCTCTAAGCTAGAAGCATAGATGTTCATAACACAGTTTTCAGTTGCTTTTGCTGGGCTCTCATGCACAGATTTCTCCAGTGCTCATTGCCATGAGCAGGTTTTTGTACTGGTCTAGAATCACAGAGTCACACAGGTTGGAAAAGATCATTAACCCAGCCTGCCATGTCCACCCCTAACCCATGTCCCTAAGCACCACATCTGCATGTCCTTTGAGCATTTCCAGGGATGGTGACTCTGTCACTTCCTCAGACAGCCTGTTCCCATGCTCGACCACTGTTTGGGAAAGAAATTTTCCTAATACCCCATCTAAATCTCTCCTGGGGCAACCTGGAGTTGTTATACAGTGGGTGTAAAGTAGAACTGCTATGATATAACAGTAATTAGTTTGCTCACTTTACATTAATATAAAAGCAAGGTAGAGGACAACAGAGAACTGTGATCACAATATAAAATTGTTAAATAAAATGTATTTCAAATATGTGATAATCTAGTAGTGTATTATAAATTAATTAAATTATCCAGTTTATCTTGGCATGGAGATAGATAGTAGAGCTTAGGTTACTGGTGAATGTAATTAATTTAGTGGTTTATAAGAATAAAGTTCTCCAGGGATTGTTGTACAATCCCTGTGTGATAACTGGCATTTGTATTCCAAGTTAGCTTGAAGAAAAAAAGGAAAAAAATATATGGAAAGTTGTTTTTTTTTATCAAGATGTAGAACAACCTGTATTCTCTAAATTTTGTTTACATGTAAGATTCCTGTAATTTTGTTGAATGTGAAAATATATACAAAAATAGGCATTGTAAACTGAGGGAAGTATTCCATCTTAATGCTAAGAACATAGTTTGGTTTCTCTGAGGGTGTAAATCTTCACATCTGTATTAAATTTACTAGAATTTCTTTGGCTTCCAGTTGGTTTTCTAGAAGGGCCAAATGCTGGAAGATAACCTGATGAATGTAGACATTCATACCTGTAAAATCTTAGACTTTTTAAAGGTATAGATCACCTGAGGTTAGAATAAGATGAACATTACTTCATGTTATTACAGTATCTGCAAGAGTTAATTTGTGTATCATAGCATTTTAATCAAATGAGTGCAGCAAACAAGTTCAAAAAGTGGAAAGGATTACTGAAAAGCTTTAAGTTTAATATTGTCTACTCTCCCTTCTCATTGCAGGCTATTCAAGTTAGTGATTTCCCTTTTTGGAAAACAAGGTTGATTTAAGGAAAAGGACCTAAGATAAAGTATTTTTTTTTTTATTTTAAGATTGACTAATCTTTATAATTTTCCACTGGACAGTGTACTGGGTGATAAAGGAAGAGTAGGGAGCTTCAACATACTACAGTGTTTGTTAGGGTTCCCAGGTTAAAAGCAGCAGGGGGAAATCGAAATGTTATTTGCCAAAACACAGTTTCAAAATAATTTTAATTGGTTTTGTTCACAGCTTCAGAGAGGGCATGATGCATTTCTGAGGCTGCTTTGGCACACCTTCATTTACCCAAGGCAATAACCCCAGGTACTAGTACGTGATGGGAATTGTCTGGCTGGAAAGGACTCAGCACAGAGTGGCTATGGGGTCGTGGTGAACACCAAGTTGACCCTGAACCCACAATGTGCCCTTGCAGCAGAGAAAGCCAAGAGCTTCCTGAGATGTATTAGGCAGGGTTGCCAGCAGATGGAGAGAGGTGACCCTTCTCCCATCAGCCATATATCTAGAGCTCTGTGCCCAGTTCTGGACTTCCCAGCACAAGAGAGACATGGATGTATTGAAGCACAAAGAGTCGTGAGGATGAGTAAGGGACTGGAGGATCTCTGGGTATGAGGAGACCTGAGAAAGCTGAACTGAGTGACAAGAGAAGAAAATAGAATTAGTCTCCTCAGAGGCACCCAGTCACAGGACAGCTCAAACTGGTAAACAGGAGGTTTCATCTGGACCTAAGAGAAACCCCTCTTTGTCTCTGAGGGTGGCACAGGTTGCCTGGACTGTGGAGTCTCCATCATTAGAGACCTTCAAAGCACAATGGGACGCTCTCCTGGGCCACCTGCTCTTGCAGACCCTCTCTCACAAGGGGATCGAAGTAGCCAATCTGCACAGGTGCATTTCAGTCTCAGCTATCGTACAATTCTGTGATTTCATGAAGGTTAAATATATAAGAGAATATTTTCATTGCACTTCAGTGCTCACTCCCAGTGGTCTGTTAATAAATAACATGGGAAAATCTGCCCATTTTCATGATCAAATTTCTGAAAAACTGTCTTTGAATATTTTTTAGCTGCAGGAATGTATTCTCCAACAGTCTGGAAAAAGTCACTGTTTAGCCATTGTGAAAAAAAGCCATTGTGAAAAAGCCATTGTGTTTACAGAGATGAAATGGATAAAATAAATGTTCTGTGCAGTAAAAATATGTAAATACAAATTTCAGAGTTAAAATTATAGGCATGTAGGAAAGTCTGAAAGTCAGAAGAGGCTTGTGGAGATCATATGGTTTGACCTTCTGGTGCAAGGACTGTGGATGATATTATTTAGTATTGTGTGAATTAGCTGAATTAGCAGGAGAAATTGTACCATTTCCCTGGCTGCCTGTTACATGATGCAGAACATTTTTCTTATATCCAAATGAAATTTCCTCTGAAACAACTTGTACTCCTAGTCTGGTGTCTTGTTGCCATGCATGGTTCTGAAGAGAGTGAGCACCTTCATCTTCTCTTTAGCTGGTTTCTTAGTTATTCGTAGACAGACATCTCCCCAAGGCTTTTCTTCTATGGGTTACCCAAGCACATTCCCTTACTGACCCCTCTTTGAATGTCAGGTTATCCAGTCCTTTCATTGCTTTGGTGGTCCTTTGCTGGATCACCTACATTCTTTCTCTCTTTTAAATTGGAGGAAATTCACTCCATGTAGCCCAGATAGGCATGTTTCTTCTGGTAAGATTTAGCAGCACAAGGAGATTTTTCCAGAACTCTATGAGGATGTCTCATAGCTAGTTATAAGTATCAAAATAGGTTTCCTAAAGTCTAAAGAGAAATAAATCTCACTTTTATTGGATAATTTTTCAGGGTAGTGCAGAAAAGAGTTAGTCATAAGAGTGATGTAAAGTATAACAGATTTGAACCTATTCTGGCAGGAGACAAGGGGTATTCTGCCATTAACTTTGTGGAAGCAGGGAATAACAATTTTGTAAAAGATGTGCTGAACTGGGACTGTGGATAGTTGGACCAAGAAATTCAGTCCACCTCCTGTGAAACACAGAGAGCCCTGGGGCAGCCCACAGTGCAAAACCCTACAGAAGCCTCCAGAACAGACTTTTTTGCTGCCAGTATACACCTTCCCACCTAAGAGACTGCTTGCTTGCTTTTATATGGAGAACTAGTCTTGATATTTTTGTTGAAAGATGCTGCAATGAGACATAGCAAACACTGGCCTCATTGTGTGTTTGTCTGCATCCCTCCCTTGATGCTGTTTTTCTTTGGAGACTAAGACTTGCTAAAATAATTGGGACTCTGGGTTTCTGTACCTCGTTTTTGTAGGAAAACTTGGAATATAATAAGGAGTTACATAAAAGTGTATCTAGTAATCATTCGTTGTAAAGGAGTGCTCTTCCCCCTCAGGAAAAAGGAGTGATGAGCTGGGACTTTGTATTCCCTGTTTAGTTTTTCCAAGATATGTAGATAATACTAACCTTTTGCCTGTGTCTGCTGCTAAATACAGAGCTGACAGGAACTGATTGTCAGCTCTGGGGTCAGTGGCTTCACAGTACACAGAAAATATAATCTTGGGAACACTGATGGCAAAGGTCCAGAACAGAGCCAGGAAATATCTTCATAAGCATGGTGCATGAGTATTTGGTGCATGGATTTTCTTCCTGCCCCTTCTTATTTATAATATGGATGTGTTCTTTGCATTTAAGCCCTCCCCTCAAAACTGCTGTTTGTTCTTAGTAGTAAAAAAAAAAAAAAAAAAACAAAAACAAAGGGGACAGAACATCATCTGTTGGGTATTGGTTTCATGATAGAGCTTGGAATGATCATTAACAGGTTCTAAGAAAGTCATCAAAACTCAGGAATAATATCTCTTATCAAAAAGAAACCGATGATATTGGTTTATAGAAGGAAAGTGAAGTTTTCTTGATGTTGCTTGTCCTGTTTATGTGTGCATCATTTGAATTATCTGCAAAAGCTGTCCAAACAGTGCATTTGAAATGTCCCTCTAGCAAGGAATGGAAAGTCAGGGGGGTTCCTTAGCCCTTGACTGGAGGTTTTCAAATTACATGGTGTAGATAAGATTTTAAGTGTTAACATTCCTGTGTTGATAGTCACAATCAATAGCCTTGAAGTGAGGGCACATGTGTGGAGTGAGACAATGGTGGCTGCAATGTGATTTTTATGACATGCTATGGAATGTGGTGCTTTTCCTTTGCAAACTGTAAGGTCTTGTGAATTGCTTACAGTTTCCATTTAGAAGAAAGCATCAGTTGTATGAGAATGGTCAGCTTGAAAACATGGGCCTTGACATTCAAGAATCAGAAGTCCCTTAAATGCCTTAAGAATGGTGGGGCAGTTCCTGATTCTGAATGATGTGTCAATAGTAGAGGAATACTTCCATTCTGTTTCTGGTATCCTTGCTGAGTACTGCTTAGTGAAGTGTCTGTTCCAAATCACATCAGGAAGCAAGCATCCAGACTCCTCTGTGACCAGAAGAAAGGGTTAAGTCTGAAGGGATACTTAGCATTCTTGGCTTCTCCATCTGTGTTGATGATACTTCTTTAAGGGTACAGCTGCTGGTGTGGCTGTTTAGGAACAACCTATTAACACCAGGTTCTGTCTTAACAACTGTACTTTGAATGCATTTTTTTTTCTGTTTCTCAGAAGTGGTGCTTAATATATTTAATATTTTTAGTGCCCTACAGATACCAAAGCAACGTTTGGGGTCCACCTAAAAGTAGTAGGAGACTGGACAGGTATGTAGAAAACCAATTCCTTTTCAGAGACAAATGCCTTTACTTGAACTGTTATCCATTTCTGGCTTCTGCACAATTGTTCCTTGACTGTGGTGCATTCTCACTAGAGATTGTTCATACTTGTTTTCCCAAAGTTGTTTTTATTACATTCTTGATGCAATCCCTGCTTTATTCAGATGTACTATTTCTTCAAATAACATGTTTTTTCCACTACTAACTGATCTTCTGATTGCACTGTAATAATTTTCAGCATTCCTCCATTTCTGCCTCTTTTTTTTGTTTTTGGGTAGCCTGCTACCCCTGTGCAGTGCAGTGCCTCTGTACATAGTAGTGTCTGCAGAAATGCTGCAATGTGCAACTCCCAGATAAGTGGATTTTGGTTCCAGCAGTTTGGATGGCAGCCAGGTTAATTAACGCCTGTGGTACACTGAGATTACAGGTTTGCTTTCATGTTCTTCCATGCTCTTCCATTGCTCTTTGAATGTCCTCCATACCAGGGCTGTAAGCCAGGATTCCCTGCAGAGGGGTAGGGCAATTTGGTGCTCTCTGTGACAGTTGTATACTCAAGTGATAGTTGTCCTTATTCCGTAGTGTCTGACTTTGTTCTTGCTCAGCATAGCATTTCCTTGTAAGGAAGACAGATACACAGCAGGGTCTGGTTCATTTCTTATGAAGAAATGTTCTCCATGTTAATTTGTATCAGCTTATGTGTTTGTGGAATTGAGTCAAATGAGCTTGTCACCCTAAAAGGGATTAGACCAATGCAGAGATAATAAGTCTGTGCATATTTGTTGAAATTTCTAGTCTGGCTACATACTTGCCTCTGCAAGACTTCAACAGGCAAAGGCTGGGAGGGCAATGCCATATGCACATGTGTTCCATAGACCCCCTGATTTTCTCTCCTTGCTTGAAGTGTTGGCCAGACAGGAGCAGATTAGCCTCTGGTCTGCCTCAGAATGATGGCTCTTTTGTTGGTAAGTATCATTCCTACATGGGAGGTGACAGTAGGCTGTTTGGAAAAGTGGGATGGAGAAGTACTAGCTAAATGATTTTTCCAAAATAAGTGGCATCTTTACAATTTTCTGATTACCTCTGTGGTGTGAATTGCTCTCTTTAAGCATTTATGTATTATTCTCCCAAGTCAGCATCTATAGTCTCTACTGAAAGGAAGATCTGTCTAGGTTGGACTGTGTGATATTCAGGAACTGTCACATTACAGAGACCATTTCTTGTAGCAGTTTTGCTAAACAGAGATATCTCTCCCAGTGTCAGATGTGCTGTCAAGAAGCAGACAGTTTACCCAGCCCTTGGTGCTGCATCAGTACCATGGAGCCCTGTTCTCACTCATTCCCTTAAGCCCTGTGACAATTAATAGTCTCTAATCTGCTGACTGTTTGAGGAAGGATTATTATATTTGCCACGTTCCTTATTATCTTTCTTAAGCATGCTCTAAAGGCTGCTTCTGCAGACAGGATATTAGACTGGAGGAGTTTTTATGAGACATACTGTCATTTGAGCTCTTTTCATGACCTATTCTCTCAGACTTTATCCTATTTATTAAAATTTTCTTTTGTATCACCATCTCCCATCCCTGACAGTTTATACCTGACACCAAAGAGTCTTGACAATTTATTTCAGAGAACTCAATTACAAGCCTAAATTAAAAGAATGCAAGAGAGGTGCAGATATGCCATGAAATGCAGAGAAGAACTGATTAGTTGAGGTATTTCTCCTCTGGATAACTTTAGCTTCTTTAGCTGCCTGCACCTGGGAGATGTGGTGAAGGAACATTTCCTGCCACTAGCTGTAAGGACAGGAGAGGGAGTACAGATTACTGGCAAACCAATTCTGCAAGTTGTTTCGGGTCAAGTCTCTTAACAATGTCCCTGACTGATACCTTGAAAATGTAATAGAATACCTTGTGCTGTAGGTTGGGAAAGCAACTCTATGTCAAGAGAAAAGGGACAATAGTATTTGCAATTCTGGATGAGAAGTTGCTGTTGATATTTCCCATATCCCAGTGTGTATATTTTAGATTTCAAATAAAATAAGCTGAAAGAAGCAGCTTTAGGAAAAGCCAGTCATTCCAGAAACAATGCTTTGCATAAGAGCCAAGAGTTAGTAGATTTTCAGGTAGTACTGTTATTTGCTTTTTAAAATCAATTATTTAAACAGTGGAAAGTGTAGGACAGAAAAAGTAGGTAAGAGAGGAAGAAGATACAAAACCAGTAGCTCTGAAACCTTTGCAAACCAACTGGTAATCTACACCCCCTGTTTCATGCTCCATTCAAACAAAATGGTGCTGTCTGAGCTTAGAACAGCTGAGAATCTGCCCCCCTCAGAAGCTGATTTGGATAAAACCATAAATTTCCTTTCCATTATATAAGCACCCATATCCTTTTCCAGTACAAATCTGAGATCTCCTATTTCTCACCCATGTTGTGGTGGTATTAATAACTGTATAATGCTTAACTTTCATGTTCATCACAGAAAACAGACACACAATCACTGGTATTGCTGTAATGTGCCCTCAGATGCCTTTGGAGCACATATTTTCACCTGAAATGATTCCCCTAGTTCCCTTTGTAGACCTCTGACCTGTTTATGTGTCTAGTTTAGGATAAGACAAGCCAGGCTCCAAGCATGCCTTTTTCTATTCCTTCATTGTAATGAGTATGTCTATATATCTACATCTATCTGACTGACGCAGAGGTAGGTAGTTTGGTTCATGGGCATTTAGTTGAATGGTTGTGATTTTTCCCATGTAAACATTTCTAATTTGATTTATCATTCCATATTTTGCCATGGGTATTGTGAACATGGGAACAGATATCATAGACCTTCCTAAAAATGGGTTTGTGATTATGCAATTGCTGTCCTTGTGCTGACTTGCGAGCTGCTTAAGTCACCACCTGATGTATTAACAGAACATTCTGTGGCACTGTGAAACCTGTGGCTGTGGAACATGGCTTAGTTGGACAGTCAGGACTTGACTTGGGTGCCCAAGTTAGGATGTGTTTACAGTGGCTGATCTGTGGTGATTGCACACATGCAGGTTGGTTTAACCTGTCTTCCTCTGTGGCTTCCTCAAGCTGAGCTGGTTGGGTGTTTATACCCTGCAGTAACGTTGAGGGTCCTGCAGTATCTCATTCATGGGTCAGAGCTGTAGATGCATGGATGAGCTAAAAACCTGATCTTGTTAGCGGCTATCCCCTCTAAATACCTATTTTGTTCTGTTTCTCTTGGTACCTGTGGCCATCTATTTTTCCTTTAGCTTTGAAGTAATTGTTGGCTTAGTATTTACAACACAATTTTTTTCAAGGTTTTTCTTGTCCCACTTATTGTCTAGTTTGTCCTCAGCATTGTCATCTATCAGCCTTATGTCTCTTCTGTCCTTGCTGCTGCCTCAAGTACTACTGCTTGTTTAGTTTTAAAAGTTGACATTTCATCTGGCAACTCTGGAGGGAAAAAGAGAGGCCATGGGCCATGCCTTGCATCCAACAATTTGACAGCAGTGAAAAAAGACATGGCAGTGTATCAAGACAATGTGTCTCATTCACTAGACAAACCTGAGGGTGTGAGACAGAAAGTGATATTGATGATGCAGGAATAACAGGCTTCAGAAGCCATGCAGCGTGTTTTTGTGGAAAACAAATACACAGCACTCAGAGGTGTTGAGGTGAGCTGCATGCCTTAAGGCAGTGAAATATTGCTGTTATGTTGCAGTGTGTTTCTGGAACAAATTGATGTGGCACCATGTTTAGAGCAATGATGCTGTTCTGTGCTCCACAGTAATTTGTATAATTTTTACCTAGTAGTGACACCATCCTGCTGTGCAGTTGTGTGTTCCTGGAGACATTTTCAAGGCTTGTTCTGAGCACTGTGATATTTATTGTGGGTATGCCATAAGAACACTTGAATACCACCCATTAAATCTGAGAGTTCTGTCCCATAGGCTACTACATGTTGTGGCAGCAGGAGGTGGTGATGTGTGCAGGAACTGTCCAGATAGAGCCAGAACAAACAGATTTTCATTTTTTTTTGTTACAGATGAGGTTATGCCTGGTAACTGGCTCATTCAGGTACAGGTGACCTTATTTTACAGGGGACATGGCATAATGGGAATTTTTGTCACGTATTGTCACAGTCCTTTTTCTGGAAGGTCCAGCTTTGGAGCAGGCAGTTTCATGAGGGAAGAACAAACAAACCATTTTTCAGTTAAAAACAACAATTTTTCAGAGCATGGCAAGTGTATGAAAGCATCTTGTTTAATTCCCTGTGAATTAAAAAAAGAATCTTGTTTAATTCCCTATGGAGTAACACCTGAGACAGCAAACAGTACACACCCCAAATTACTTGTTTTTAAGCAGGAAAACAAACAAAAAAGTAGGACAGTTCTTTGGGATTTTGGAGTCTGATTAAGGATTTTTCTCACATTGACCAGAAGAAGAAAATGACATACCTTTTAAGTGTCTCTGAAGGAAGAATGATCTGAACATTCTGGTCTGGGAGAGTTTGTCAGGAGTATCTGCATGACCATGTTAGGCTCTTGCAGCTCCTGATTTATGGGATGCCTGAAGCATCCCAAGGCTATGCATTCCTGTGCTTACCTGGAACATCTCATCAAATGTAGGATCTAGCAAAGAGGCAATATTTTAGGTTCAGTAACCCTGAGAACAGTTTGAGATGTATTGAAGTGGCTCACTCAGCGTCTCCTGCATTGTTAGTGGATCTTGATTCTGACTGAAGTCATGTGTGGAACAGAAGATGACAAGAAGGAATAATCAGACTATAAAGTCTGTCCACAGGAAATGACAAGGTTGTGCCAGGTTCACTGCTACTGATTTTCCTTAAAAAATATCTACTCACTGGTAATGAACATTTGGTCAACTCTTTTGCTATTACCTCAAGCTCTGTTTGATTTGGGCCTTTTCCACTCCATAGTAACATTTTTTTGTGTTTAGTTATTCCATCAGATTCCTGGCAAGCTGTAAAGGTGT